TGCCGCGGCTTCTCATGGACAGGTTCTTCTCGCCCGCTGCGGCTTCCCATGCGGAACAGCAGCCGCAGGAGACCACTCCCAGCGCCACCAGCGTGAAAAAGAGCACTCCTCCTCCTGCTGCTGTCCCTGTCGCAGTCCCAGTGCGCTTGAGCAACCCAGCCGCAATCCCATTCCCCGCCGCCAGCAAGAGCCAAGGCTCCACACCCCCGCTCACCCCTCTCTCCCAGGAAGAGTCTCCCGACGAATCCGCCGTCGTAACGCCGGCCACGTCGGACCGGGGCGATCCGGTAGACGCCGGCGTGGTGGGCCAGTGCCTGCAGGTGATGGCTCGTGAGACGGGGCTAGAAGTCGACGCGTTGACGCCGGACGCAAGCTTCGTGCAGCTGGGTATCGACTCGCTCATGTCGCTTGTGTTGTCAGAGAAGTTCCGTGCCGAACTGGGGATCGAGATTAAGAGCTCGCTGTTCCTGGAATGTCCGACTATCGGGGAGATGACGGCATGGTTGGAAGAGTATTGTTAATAGATCCTCCTTTGCCTTTCCATATAGAAATTTGTCTTAGTCATTTGTCAATCAATCTACAGCTAACATCTACTCAATTCCTCTAATCCCTGAAAATGGTAAAATATCTATAAAAGTAAATGGATATCTACTACAGACGTGTACATTCTCGGTGAGATACTCTTGGATTTTTCCAACCTTCAGTGGGCTTTCTGTAGAACTTCTCACCGGTTCACAAGCTTGATCCTGTATTCGGGTGTGAAATCGGCAAGCCACAAGGTCTGTTTACGAACTTGGATCATCAAGCCAATAAGGACTATTCTATATAATTATGTTTATGTAGCTAGTTAAGCACCTATCTCGCCCACACTGTCCAGAATCACCATCCCTGACCACCCTCATGCCAAATTTAGTTGTTCTTCGTGCCTTGTCTGATGCGCATATTAAAAGCGATAGTGATAGAGTCCCTTGCATACTTCTATTCATTAAAATCCGGCACCAAAACCCGGAGTCTCCATGCAAAATCCGCTCTTTCTTTCGGGTTTTAGCCACAGCCTTGCAGCTCGTTTTCCCCCGCAGCGATACATTGGCCTAAGACCAGAAGATGCAAGCAACTAAGGGGCCTAGATCATTATCCATTTGCCTACCAAAATTACCAAGTACACTACAATGGCACCCCGACTCCCAGTCCTCATCATCGGAGCCGGCATCTCAGGCCTCACAACCGCCCGCCTGCTAACAAATAGCGGCATCCCAAACATCGTCTTCGAAGCATCCAGCCCAGATCGTAGGCAAGGCTTCGCCATCAGCCTGCGCGAATGGGGATACGCGACACTGCTGTCCGCTCTCGGGGACGTGCCGCTACGAAGCTTGACGCGCGGCGTCGCGCCGGACAGGGAAATCGGCGGCTCGGGCTGGATCGACCAGGTTGTATGGGATAACGGGACCGCAAAGAAACTATTTGTGCCGGACACGAACTCGTCGACAAAGGAGGAGATTGTCCGCGCGAACCGGAACGCGTTGCGCAGGTGGATTGCGGACTGTGGGGAGGAGGAGCTGGATGTGCGGTACGGGCATCGGCTGAAGAGGGTGGAGGGGAGCTTGGAGGATGTTCGGGTTGAGTTCGAGAACGGGGCGTTCTATCGGGGGCTGATGGTGGTTGCTGCGGACGGAGTGAACTCGACTGGTTGGAACTGCTCCTCTAACATTGTAGGACCGAACTGATGATATGTGTATAGTTCGATCGCAGGTCCTCCCGGATGTCCAACCCGAGATTGTCCCAGCGGTGCTCTATCATGGCGAGTTCCAGCTGCCCAGGGCCGACTTCGACCGGCTATTCCGGCCGCACACCGGAGAATCCAACATCCTCGCGGGTGTCGGCGATGGCTTCAACGCGCCGTTCGCCGTCTGCAACATGACCAAGACGCATGTCCACATGGACTGGTCGTACTCGCGGCCGGCCTGGGGCAGCGGAGAGGACGACCCGCTGTACCGGCCCAATCTCACCTCCGAGGACGCGAAGCAGATCCCTCCGGCGCTGGTGGAGGAGCTTGCGTCGCGCGATCTGGCCGAGCCGTGGAGTCTGTTTCTCAATGGCGAGGCTATCCAACATCACCGGGTGTTTCACTGGGCCGTCCGGTGCGTCTCTGTGACGCAAGAGGACATGCAGCGTGCTGTAGGGCGGGGCGTCGCCTTTGTCGGCGACTCGTGGCATGCAATGCCCATATTTGGCGGGGAGGGAGGCAATCACGCACTGGCGGACGGTGTCGAGCTGGCTGCTGCTGTTTCGGCCGGTGTGGCGGGCGATTTGGGCGTGGCAATTGGGAGTTACTATGACCGAGCGTGGAAAAGATCACAGGACGCGGTACGACGGTCCAAGCAGCGGTTCTATGTGCTGCATCGGCCGATGGCTCAGTGGCGGGAGCTTTCGCAGAAGAAACCCGTGTGACTTTGAACGGTTTGCACTAGTAGATAAGAATGACATGGTTACACTGATGTTGAGGCCAGGAGACTGTCTAGCCGTCGGTCTGTATTCTGCCAATAAATTTTAGCGTAGTGTCAGGATTAGTGAGGAACCTACTAAGACTTTATTGGTATCTGGCCCGGTCTCAGAGCGCCATCTAACCAGGGTCGGTTGGGGGATACAATTGGTTGCTCCCTAACGTGTGGTAGAAAAGATCACCGACAGTGGAATCCAAAGATAATGCAGCACAAAAGAACAGCAAGTTGTGCATGATCGATGCCCTACCACCCCATGATCTCGATTATCATACTCATTGCAGACTTGAACGTAGTATGGCCATAGTTCTCTTGGACCGGAGTCCGGAGGTGTAACCAAACACCTCGTACTTGTTAGTTCGCGTCTAATATTTACGGAGACGAAACCTAGACCAGTACTTGAGACATGACTGGATGCCCCTTTCTTGAGGACATAGACTGGCTGACCCAATCCACAAATCCGTATCCAACCCACCCAATCCACACTTTGGGTTGGATCTAGATAGGCCTGATCCAACCCATGTGGATATGGGTTGAACCTGCCTAGTCTACCATACTATATAGATATGGATAACCCATTAGGTGCATGTGATCTAGGGCCTCTAGAAGCTGATAAGCTTATCTAACCTAACCTAGGCCTAGATAGGGGAATATTTTTATATCTATAGATAGAGAACAGTCCTATCTATCTATTTATAAAATAAAAATATTAGATCTACTAAGAAAGTATGGAGTTATAGTAGGTTTTCGATTATAGAGGATGGTGATCAGGATAGTAGTGGTAAGATATATATCTCCGTACCACTTTTCATCCCATCCTTAGGGGGCACCCCTACCTCCCTAATTAAGCCTATTTGAGGTTATCTAATAGGTAATATATAATATATATATAGTAAACTATCATATTATATAATAAAATATTTAGTGTGGCTAGAATACTAGAAAATAGGTAGTATGGATATATCCATTATCCATAATCCAATCCACATGGATATGATCATATGAGGGTGGGTTGGATAGGTGGTGGATCAACTATAATCCACATGGGTTGGATCAAACATGATGTGGATCAACCCGTATCCAATCCACGACCAGTCTAAGAGGACACCTATGGCCCCCGATTCCCAGAAAGGCGACATATGCCGAACGTGCAGATCATGCCATAGGCGGCTAGACTGGTTACCAGGAGCCATCCAAGTCGCCAGACAATCGTATGATGAACACGAGGACCCCGCAGCCAACTATTCAGAGAGGTGCGGAAGGCTGAAAGGATCGAGCTCTGGCTGTGTTCACTACTAGCCACAAGGGGATAATGCAGTACGAGGCTAGACCTCTATTAATATCGAGAATTAAGGTGATTGGCGAGGCGGATGAATTTCCTCCACCCCTTTGCAGCGAGCCTTGACACCTAGGGCTAGGAATGTGGGGCCGATGCTGAGAATGAGAGCACTGGCTGCCTTTGTGATTATTATGCATGGATGGCAATTGAGAGTAATGAAGACCAAAAGGCCTTGTATCCATCTCGATAAGAAACAGACAAGAAAACCGCTGCAAAGGGTTGACCAAGCCGGGACGAGACACAGAAGGCCTAGGCTGGGGTAGCGTATCTCAAGAAGATCGTCTTCGAATGTAAATAAGGTTATGGAAAATAAGGCCGGACTGAAACAGGCATAACGAATATCACCTCTTTCTCACTGGACGCTACCACACTCCATGCTCGTATTAGGCAAATGAGTAAGTCTGGCCATGTAAACACGAGTAAAAGCCCACGAATCAGCAGAGAACTTGATACGTGTCAGATTATAGGTCGAGATAAGAATCTACTAGTGGTCGACACCCACACCGTCACTGGGGCTTGGAGAAAAATGTTTCTAGAGGCTGATATCAGGTCGCTTATTTCATGTTCCACAACGCTAGCATGCTTCCATGGTCATCCAGTACCGATTGATATCTCCTCTGCTCTGCCTGATTGTGCTGTTAGTACAGTGAGGCTACGAGCATTTCGATGGGTCGACTCTCCTACAACAGAATCCTGCGATGCATCATGCCCGGCCTATTCCATCTTTTGTATGCCCACCTTTCCCGCAACCGAAAACAACCTGCATCTGCCTGCAACTATATGATGGCCGTCTACCCTATCGTAGTCGCTCGGTCATTGATGTGCGATCCACCGACAGAAGATGTAGTTGTCACCTCTTACAAGTAAAAAAGCGCTATGCCCACTCCAGTCATTTTAAGACGAGATACCAGGCAACAACATCCTTATAATGGTCATATATCCAGGCACTTGCAGGGGTTGCGTTACATTGCCAATGGTTTCATCCTCGTGTTCACCTCGTGGTTTCCTCGTGTTTCCCTCGTGTCCTGAGACCTAGAGCTTATGCAACTAGGATATAGATATCGCCACCCTAACTTGTTCCGGAAACAAGGAATCCATGGTCCGATGAAGCATATATAGACATGAACTCACGCCCAGCCACCGGACCACCATCTGTTATCAAGATGGAGAAAAGTAATCAGCGGAAACGCCCCTCAACTCCGCATCTCAGCTGCGAGCTCTGCCGCGAGCGCAAGATCAAGTGCGACAAGGTCGATCCCTGCACCAACTGCGTCTCGGCAGGCGTTGTCTGTGTCCCTGTCCAGCGCCCACGCCTGCCACGAGGTGTCCATGCGCGACGAGCTCGCCCATTGTCCCCAGCGTCCGTGCCCGCACGCGCGCCGACCCCTGTTGTGGGTCCGGTATCTTCAGAGGAAAAGCAGACAGATGCTTCCTCCGGCGCCGTGGGGGCAGTTGACGACGACCTCAGGAAACGCATCCACAAGCTTGAGGCGGTAGTCAACAGCATGCGTGCGGCCATGCAGGACCGGTGCCCGGCACCTGCCAGCCAGGTTAGTTGCGCATACCGGTGTATAGTCGGGCGTGCTGACGAGGAACAGTCGGGTTTTAACGATTCATATCCGGCGCCAACAAGCTCATTGTCATGCAGTTTGTCCATTCCAACTAATGTCCCGAAGCAACCACCCTTGACTTCGCACCCTGATTGTTTCTGGACTAGTTTGGTTGGAGAGGTAGGCAATGTCGCAGGGGCCAATGTAGACTGGCGCTGGGATGCTGACTGTTTCCCGTGGGTGGGGGATCAGATAGAAGATGTTGGTGGCGACGTAGGATCGAGTTCAGAGACCAAATCGGATACCCATAGTCTGCTAGCACCTAAAGTGTCGAGAATGGACGACGGCGGGCTCCGTCTCCTTGGCCTGAGTGGAAATAATCTGACCCTTACCTGGACTCCGGTCCTCGAAGACAAAGCAATAACAAGGCAGTTATGCCAGATCTACCTCCAGCAAGTCGACCCCATTATTAAAATCCTGCACCGGCCAACTGTCGAGAAGTGGATGTTACAAGGGGAGCGCTACCTTGATTATCCGGAGAGGCACGTTGCCGTTGATGCGTTGCGGTCTGCCATTTGCTACGCTGCTGCCGCGAGTTTTACCGACGATCAATGTTCGGCCATTTTTCAAAGGAGCAGGTCCAGCGGCATTGTGGAGGAGTCTCGAAGAGCGTGTGAGGCCGCACTGGAGAGAAGTGGGTTGCTGGCCTCTCCCAGTATCACTGGCCTGCAGGCATTTGTGCTTTACCTCGTAAGTACCGGCTTCTGAACAAGCTGAAGACCAAGAGCAGCACTGTTTTACTAACCCGGTGGAATAGATTGCCAGGAGATCCGAAGACCGCAGTCAGGCCGCATGGACGCTGACGGCGGTGGCCGTGCGGCTGGCAAAGGCACTTGGTCTCCACCGGGAGCGAGATGAGACATTCTTCAGCCAACAGATGCGCAGGCGGTTGTGGCTCACCATCTCACTGATGGACCTGCAGACCTCCTTCAGCCAGGCCTCTGAACCGCTCATCAATACTGAAGAGGCCACCTCCACATTCTGTCTGCCCCAGCACATCAACGACTCGGATTTCGATCCAACCATGACTCATGAAATCCCGGACAGGGAGGGGCTGTGCGATACCACATTCGCCCTGGTCACATACCACCTCCAGCTAGCAGGGCGGGCCCTGAATTTTGGCACCGCGGCATCATTACAACACAAGGCGTCTCAACAGCAACACGCGCAGCGCTTTGAACAGAATGCGCTCCGCCTGTTGCATTTTTGCGACCCCGAATCCTCGCCGTTCGCGTGGTTCACCTGGCACGGCACGCAATGCCTCGTCTCTGGCGCTCGGCTGTCCGCGCTACGGCCGCTCCAGCTCCCGCAGCCCAGTAACGGCAGTAGCCAGCCGCCGCCCTCGCCGTCTCCCAGCCCGCAGGAGCACAACCACAAGCTTCTCCGCCTGGCCCTAAACGTCTTGGAAAAGGCACATCTGATGCACACAGATCCCCGCGGCGAGGGATTCCGCTGGTACGTGACGATGCCGTGGCACGCGCTGGCGGTCGCCATCACCGAGTGCTCCCTCTGCCCGGATGTGACCCAAATCCAGAGCGCGTGGCCAACCATCGAGGCAAGTTATCAGCTGCTGCGCCGCAAAGGAGTCGCGGGCCAGGAGGAAGCAATCCAGCGTCCACTGGAGAAATTGATATGTCGGGCACGGGACAAGGCGGGCCCTCTTGTGCAGCTCGCACGGCCTAGTCCGACATTCAGCCTCGGTAGCAGTGCTGTGACATCTGCTGCACCCACGCCGCGTTCGCGGGCCAGCAGCGCCCCGAGTGACACCCTCAGCGACCTGTCCTGGCCGACAGCTTTCTCCCATGCTCATTCCCAGCTCGGTGTGGATTTGGCTCCAGTGGGTCCCTTACAGCCGTTGGACAAACTCGATCTGGATCCGTTGTTGTTACAGTTCGACATTGAGAGCCAGCCGCTGCTTGCGGGCCAGATCCCTCGAGTGGACGCGGAGCCGTCGTTGCGGACGTGGGAGCAGCTGATGTCGGATATTGATCATGCCGAGTCGAACATGTTTCTTCCTTAGATGGACTCCCTCCTTCCGTCTCTCTTGGCCATATACGGTTAGACTGAAGTCGGGATAAGACGATTACCAATCCGACCGGTTGTCCGGATTTTAGATTCTGTTGTTTCGGAGAGACTTTTTAATAGGTCGCCGGTTTCTGGCAGAAATTTATCAACAACAATCATGTTCCAGGTGCCTCGCATGATACACCAGTCAAATACTGTAAACAATATAAGGCTGTTTCGGGTTAGAAGCCAGACTCATGATATTCTTCCCATTGTACTACAAGCTCATCTACGATAGCATACCAGGCTCTTTGTGCTCTATGACCAGCCTGGCTGTAGCGCAACTTCTTCCATAATGCTGCCGAGATTCAAGGCGTATTGCTTATGTTCGTCTCTTTCTCCATCACAACGGTAGCCTGCTGCAAGCAAGCCTCGGATTTTGGCGCCTCGGCATCTCTGATGTCGGATTTTAGGAGTCAACACGGAGCAACAGCTCGGATTAAAACACAACAAAACCTTTCTGCCAACTCCCTACCCTAAGATAATCTGTATTCGCTGACCGAGGAATTTAGAGTACAGTATACTCTGCGGACGCAATACATGGCCCTCCGCATGCCATTCAACCAGGCCTTCTGGGAGGAGTACCTCTCCGGGCAGGATGCTACCCTCCCTTCTCTTCCCGATACCTCAACCCTCAGCAGCAGAGTAATCCGCATCCTCGGCGGGAATCCAGGTGCCATGCACCTACAAGGAACCAACACCTACCTAGTCGGAACAGGGCCGTCTCGCATCCTGATCGATACCGGACAGGTAGATACCAACTTCCTATCCAACCCTTATGATGCTAACACAGGCAGGGTCTCCCCATCTGGCTCAGCCGCATCACTGGGCTCCTGCGCTCGAAAAACATCTCCATATCACATATTCTCCTCACCCACTGGCACGGCGACCACACAGGCGGCGTCTCCGATTTGATCTCCTACAATCCCACCCTCGCCGAACACGTCTACAAGAACCTCCCTGATGCAGGTCAAAAGTCCATAGACGATGGGCAGATCTTTGCTGTGGAGGGAGCGACCGTCCGCGCAGTCTTCACGCCCGGCCACTCGGTCGACCACATGTGCTTCTTGCTTGAGGAAGAGAACGCCCTGTTCACTGGGGATAATGTGCTGGGGCACGGGTTCAGCGTGGCTCCGGATCTGGGACGGTATATGGAGAGTCTGGAGCTGATGGCGGGCTTGGGCTGTGTGCTTGGATACCCTGCGCATGGGGCTGTTATTGGTGACCTTCCTAGCAAGCTGGAGGAATATATCCGGCATAAGGAGATGCGTTTGCGAGGGATTTTGTCAGTATTGGTGAAGGAGAGGGAGAGGGTAGAGGGGGACAGAGGGCCGGAAGGCGGGAGGAAGAGAGGGGGTATGACGCTACACGAAATTGTGAGGGCAATGTTTGGGGCGGTGCCGGACGAGGTGATTGACCAGGCCTTGGCGCCGTTTTTGCTACAGGCTTTGTGGAAGCTGACGGAGGACCGGAAGGTGGGATTCGAGCCGGGGGATCCTGTCAAGAGAAAATGGTTTGCCGTTGCCCGTCGAAAGCCACCTAGGCAGTACGGGTCGGTTGCACGTCAATAATCCTGCTCGGGTTATACGGATGTTTATCATCTGCACAAGCCCGACGACGGAAGCCCATTCTCAATCTCCCCTTGCGCAATCTTCTCCGTCAGCGATCCTGCACTCTTGTCTGCGCCTGAAAGTTCGAGATATTGAATATTTGGCAGTGTTGTTCATTCTGTACATACATCAGTTGAGAATTACAAATGGAGTTATGATACGTTTCCTTTGAGCCATGCCTTCTGTTCCTCCAAACAATGACTTTGTCCTCGCATGTTCAAAGGTAATAATGGCGTGTGCTCCCCATGCTTCAACGAGTGAGCCTGTTTTATGTATTTGAAGACACTGCGGTACCTCATCCAGCACCCTGATTCATTTCATTGTTCAATTTTATAGGCCCAATGTGTACATCCAAACTGATTCATTCCCGTCTATAAACACTGCATTGATTCTCTCAATGACTAGCCAGCATTATATCCCTAGTCCTCTTCAATACCCTCCCTTGCATCCACAAACAATTTAACCAGCCCCAGTCCACGTAATCTTCAATGTAAAACTGTTCAGCATCGACAAAAAAGTTCGATCCAGCCTACGCCATCTTCTGCCTTTCTAATCCAAAAATTGCTCCCGCATGAAATCCTCGAGCAATGTCTCGAAACGTCGGGGTGCGCGCCGTCGGATTCGTCTGGAAACTTTACTTCTTCCAGAAGTGACACAACGAGCAGATAGGCGATCTTGTGCTCGAGATGTTTGCAGACAATGACTCTGATGAAAGGATTATAGCGGCGATAGTGTACATCCGTTATCTTGGACAAGATAAGCATAGCAGAAGGAACGAGCTGAGCACATTAACAGTGACAGACCGTCACAGACAGGCTGTGACCTTCAGCAAGGATGCGTTCTGACACCATAATATATGGTATCGAATACTTTGTATATATATCGACTACTCGTACAGATATCTAATTCTCGTATAGCAGTACTCTGTATTATATATTTATCCGATACGGAAAGAGGTGGGGTTTCCGATCAGATGTACTGCATGTTGAAAATATATATCCAAGTATGCTACTATTCGATATCCATACTACATCAGCATTCAATATCTCTCCTAGTGTTCATTACTGATATTTTATTATATATGTTGTCTACCAGCTTAACCAGAAAAAGAGGATGTGTGCCTTTGGCACAGGTAGTCCAACGCAGTAAATGCCCATTCTCGGATTTTGCGCGCTCGGGTTTTGAGCCCAACTTTGAGCTCACGGCCGGGTTTTGGCGAGGTCTTCCAGTATAGATATCGTCATTGGTTCCTCTGCCACTTACACTGATCAAGCGACAACGTTGTACAGGAAAGCTCTGATCTAATTCGTGCGAAAATGGGCTTTTTCGGGAAAAAAGCCCTGCTTCCGCCGCCAGGGAACCCCACGGACACAGTAATACCGATCCCAGCATGGGATGACCAACATCGCATGCGCGCTTGTTGCCTGCATGTGACTTACCGATTCGACGACGTTCTTGACCCAGAGGTGCTACGCCAATCGTTGGAGCGTCTCTTGGAGTTGGATGGCTGGCGGACACTAGGAGCGCGACTTCGCAAGAAGGTGTGGATTGAAATCACTCAAATACTACGTTCGCTCGCAACTCACACACGTTAGGATGATGGAAAATTAGAATACCACATACCAGCGCAGTATGATGCAAACCGGCCTGGCTTTAACTACACGGTCGTTAAGCACCCTATGGGCATCAGCGAGCATCCTTTAGCTGCTAGTTTCCCCCAAGCAACTGGCCAGCCATCGCTGCTTGGCGACCCCGCAGATCTCGCATCTGTATGTCTGTCTGCGGATTGCCCCACGAGAATCGAGGACTGGCTCTATTCAGACCGACCGCAACTCGTCATTGATGTGGTGTCGTTGGGCGATGCGACCTTGCTGACCGTAACGTTCATGCACACTCTCATGGACGCTATGGGCCTTTCAAGCTTTCTCAAGGCGTGGACCGCTGTCATGAATGGACGAGAAGACCAGGTCCCAACCTTTCAGCAGGTCGGCGAAGATCCGGCGGCGCGCTTCACCGACAGAACCCCGGCCAACACCTACGTGAACAGCTCCTTTCTGCTAACCGGGGTCCGCCTCTTAGGTTTCATCGCCAGCTACCTCTTCGAGCTCATCTGGCACCGCGGCCAGAATGAACGTGTAATCTGCATCCCAGGACGATATGTCGACGAGGTGCGGGAGCAGGCATTGCACGAGCTAGCCGAGCAAAACAAGGAAGGGCCTGCTCCCTTCCTTAGTGAAAGTGATGTACTTTTAGCATGGTGGCTCAAGGCCTTGATTAAGGCCCTGAATCCCTCCCCCCACCGCTTGGTGTCCCTCTTGAACGTGTTCGACATCCGTTCGACCGCCCTCCAGGAATCATCATCCACAAACACAGCCTTCATCACGAACGCTGCCCTTCCAGCCATCACCTTTCTTCGCACCCAGCAGATTCTTCGCGAACCAGTCAGCTTCATAGCCTCCCACATCCGCCGCTCGCTCGTCCAACAACGCAGTCTACCCCAGATCGAAGCGTTCTTTGCTTTTCACAAATCCGCATCTGAGAAACATCCGCCGGTGTTCGGCGAACCGACCTCCCTTCTCGTCTGCTGTAGTAACTGGCACCGAGGTCGGTTCTTTGAAGTGGACTTCTCGTCTGCGGTTCTTGCCCCCGGCATTCCGCTCCATGGCCGTGTGCATCCTCCGGGCAGGCCATCGTGCGTGATTCCTACCCATCATTCGGGTGGCCTTGCTTTGCGAAACGTGGGGCCCATCATTGGCAAGGATGCAAGTGGGAACTGGTGGCTATCGTGCACAATGAGGACGAGTGCCTGGTCTGGCATCGAACAGGAATTGAATGCGCTAGGCGCAAGAAAGACCCAGTGATGGTGGATTGCAGAGGTCCTTTCAAGCCTCCGGGCCGAGGAATGGCTCGGCCGTGCCTACGCTATGTGTTCCAAGCATAATGCATAGAAGGACTGAGGACCCGGTCGCATACTCTAGCCTGGTATTAGCTGCTCTCGCCCAGGATCGCCATGCATGCACACGCCTCATCTTACGTCTGGAGTACCGCCGAATTGTACAGAAATCCACAATTTATGGTATGTGGATTGGATCTTAGGATGCTAGCAGCGGCTGGGCTAGTAATTCCAGCATCAGCTGCTGCTCCTGGTTCGCCTGATACGACACCTCCATCCTCTTTTGGCTGACTGAATCCGGGAAGTGGGCTAGTTATAAAAATAGTCGCCCTCTCAGTTATTTAGATGTACATATGACTATAGACATATTGTTATTTCGCATGCATTTCCAGAAGGCGTGAAGCAAGAATGCGGCATCCCATGAAAACTGCAACAGTGTATTAATAGTGTCCTGTTGTTTCCTCATTGAGAAGCTGGAAAAAATTGCGGCCACTTGTAGGTCTGATAGGAAGGGTTGAAAGGCCTCGCTTGGGTAGTGGCCATCTCGTAATATGATATAATCCAAACGTCTATTCCTACGACCACAAGTCTAAGGGGAGCCCTCTTCTGCAATATATGCTGACACACGTTCAGCTTCACGCATTCGCCGCCATCAACGCGTAAATCTCCTGCGCGGCTTTTGGTATCTTGCCCTTTTCGCCACCCTCCTCGATATCGATCATCTCATTCGCAAAGTCGCAAAGCGTGGCCTCCAAATAATCCACCTCTTTCTCCGTATTTCCAGCATGGACCATGACCCTGACGCGAGATTTGCCTTTGGGAACCTGGGGATAGTCGATGGGAACGACTGCTATTTTCGCCAGTTGTAGGTGAAAAAAGAGCCACCAGTTGTACTTTTGCCTGGTCCAGATTGGTACAATGTGCGTCACTAAGTCCAGCGACTCATAGTCCTCGGCCACGGGAATAGACAAAATACCCATCTCGGTGGCTTTGTCCCAGATATCGCTAGAGGTAATGGATTTGAAGAAGTATTTGACGAGGTGTTGTATGTTGTCCTGAGCCTAGGTTTTTTGTTATTCTGAACTCCTCAGTCACTTCACCAATCGTTGCATACCTTCTGCGTGGCACCAGTTCTCATCAGGTTATAGGCTGCGCGAATAACTGCAACCGACGGGAAGGATGGGGCTGTGGTATTCACCAGGGAGTCAGCATTGTTCAACATCATGTTTCGGACCGTGGCGTTTCCAAGAGCCACAGCTTCAAACAATTGCGTCAGCGATAACGCTCGAGCAAGGGGTTACTGCCAGGTCTATTGATCTTACATCCAGTACCGCCCAAGGCCTTGCCGCGACCACACTCAATGCGTCCGGACCGCAGCACGCGCAGGTATTGCACCGCGATCTGACCTCCTATCCACCATACGCCCAGCTCGCTCGGACCTGAAGGCATAGAACCACAGACCAAATTCCTCTTTACCTTTCAGGCTTTACGGATGATAATGACGCAAAGCGCATCATCCCCGGGAGCAACAAATGGCCCTTTCATCAACGCGGGAACATGAAGCAGACGATCCCAGCCGAGATGAAGACTGGTGACTGTCTACTGATCGGAGGGAATGTCATCCATGCAATGGGCGAGAACAAAACGGAGATGGAAAGGAAATGTATACAGCTGGCCGTCATCCCCAGTTTCCTGACTCCGGCGGAAGCACATCCTTTCATCATCAAGCTGGAAACGGTGAACAAGTTATCGAAGCGCACGCAGCGATTTGTGGGTTTTAGATCGCAGTACCCTCGGGGCTCGCCAGGCTTGTGGACAAAGGATTATATCGAATTGGCATTGCATCTGGGTTTGGACGATCTTGCGGGTGCTACGGAGGATTTGCAGGATGTTCTCAACCAGCCCAAACAATGGGATACAATTGATTATGACAAGGTTTGAGAGTTGTACATAAAGCTACTGTGCACAGGGTACTTGAATGATATACTCTAATTGATAGTCTGCAAACGCTTTATCCATCCTTTTTCCGACTATTTCTCGAAGCGCTGATTCCCGAGGCCCTGCGACTTGAGATCAATCTCATCCACGAACAGCGAAGTCACCAACCCCAGTCCACTAAGCCCCGTCATTGTGTAGAAGATCGTCTGGAAGCACTTTAGGTAGACCCTCAGAACCTGATCAAGCATTTCGACGGGAACGTCTAGTGATCTTAGATTGTCAATAAAGGCAACCGCATTGGCGACGTCCTTGAGAGGGGCCAGAGGACCGGTAAGTTGGACCGTCGTGGCGGAGATGGATGTCGAGAAGACAGAGTTGAAAATGGCTGAAGAGATCGTGAGTCCGACGAGACCTCCAAACATGCGGATTGTCATAAATTGTCCGATCGCCAGGCCTGTGTCATCGACGTTTTTGACGCTCGCTTGCATGGGAAGAAGATTGAGACGCAGCAAGGCAACACCCGCTCCCCAGAGGATGGGAAGGCCGAGCCGCATAGATGACGACGATTCTACGTCGAACAGGGCCAGCAAGCCGGTTCCCAGCGTGAGTATGATCCATGCCAGCCGAAGAATCCATACATAGCCACCAAACAGCGGAACCATCATCATGGAGGCAGCTGCGACCACCACACTAGTAATGACGGTGGGCAGCAGGTAGACGGCCGATGAAATGGCAGTTTCGAGCTGTACGGCTTGGTAAAGCAAGGGCAAGTACTGCAAAAGCGAGACCAGAACCGCCCCATGGAGGAATCCTCCAGCTAACGTCATGTTTCCTGTCTTCGAGTGGAAGAGTCGATGAGGAACAATAGGGGCTTCGGGTTTCGCTTCGTAGAAAGCAAATACGACCAGTACCGCAACCCCTACGAACATTGGGACGAGAGTCTGCCAGGAAGCCCATGGAAATAAGGAGCCAGCCCAACTGAGGGGTAACACAAAGATCGTGATCCCGACGACGATCAACATCATACCAATCCAATCGAGCCGGTTCAAATTTTTGGCCAGCGATGCATCGAGGGGGACTGGTCGTAACTTGAGGAAGAAGAAAACCAATGGCGTGCCGATCCCTAGCAACGGCAAGTTCACCCATCCAATCCATCTCCAGCTCGCATAATTCGCGAACAGTGCACCAACTGAGGGCCCCATGATATTGCCAATAGCCATGGGAATGGCCATCAAGCCCAGATATTTCGAGCGTTCTTGCAGCGTCGTCATATCTGCGAGAATGACCTCCGCCAGCACGTCAATTCCTCCACCACCGAACCCTTGAAGTACGCGGCCGATGATAATCGTGTTCATATTTTGGGCCACGGCAAAGACGACGGATCCGATGAAGAATAACGCCATGGATACGTAGAGAGGCGGCTTCCGACCGAACGCGGTGGAGATACTGGCCCACACCGGTTGCATGACGAGACCACAGAGGGTGTAGGACAAGTTCGCCCAGAAGGACTCTAAACTCTCCCCCTTGAGATCAGCAGCTATGGTCTACCGACGAGGTTAGTATTGGGGCGATTCAGCACCAGATGAGAAATGTGGTATTGCTCACTGGAAGGGCGATCCCGAGGCCCGTTGCATCCAACTGGAACACAAACATGCTGGCAGCGAGGCCGATGAAAGCGAGTTTAAAAGCCAGTGATTTCTTTGGTGTCCGCTTGACATCGTCCTCGCCATTTCTCTCTGTAGGAACTTCCGTCCCGCCCGCCTCTGTCTCTGTGTCTGTCTCTGCCTTTCCTTTTGTTTCTGATATCGGTTCCGAGTCTGATTCTTGTCGAACTGCGAATGCGGATATCTCGGCCTGGCCCATGCTTGGCATGATAGTTTAACTCTCAGGCCACGTCGGCTTGGGGCTCAAGCTCAATCAGAAACACACTCGCAAAATAGAAGTCGAGTTTTCAGTTGCAGAGATGACATGCTTACCGACGGGTTGGTTCCACCGCAGTGTGCTGGAGATAAGATAATGGAAGAGTCTATGGAGTGGTGAATTCTGTATTTGAGCGGCCAAGAAAGCCAGAAGTGGAGAGACCCCTTTGTTTCACGTTAGGATCCCAGATCGCATATTTTTCCGGATCGCTGGTCGATATTACTCGGCAGGGTCTGGAGCGTCACGTGTCCTGAGGATGAAGGGAGCGGAATGACAGGATGAACGAGTATGTAATCTGTAACAGAGAATGTGCGTGGCCCAAGATGCTGATGCTGAACCTTCGAATTCTCTTTCCCAAGCGTGGCCAGAGTTCGGTGGAGGATGGATGAGCCTAGACTGGCGCCGGATCCGCGCGGGTTCCGGTCTCGAAGGCTCGGCCCGGTTGGTGGGGACAACTGACTCAGGCAGCATTATCATGACAGGCAGCGACTGCGACCGTGACTGCAACCACGACCAGAATAATCTGTCGTCGATCCAGAGGCTCCATTAGAGGCAACTTGTCATGGGGTTTCTTGGATTTGGGAGAGAGTCTGCCCCTCCGCCGACCGTATCAACCGACACAATCATTCCCTTCCTTCCACTAGTGGGATGATGACCATCGTACACGAGGCCTTTCCTTCGACGTCGCTTTCCGCTTCGTAACATCCTTGACGCGGAGAAACTTCTATGTGCGCTATCCCGGCTGCTAGAATTAGGAGACTGGCGGAAACTCGGTGCTCGAATCCGAAGGAATGCAGACGGGAGACTAGAATACCATGTTCCACGATGTTTCGACGACAAGCGGCCTAGTTCGCATACTCCAGGGTCACATATGACATGAAAGTGGTCGACCATCCATAAGTATCGCGTTTAGCTCAACCTCACCACCTTGATGCCGCTGGACGCCTATCCGTTCTGGACATTACATATATAACTGGCCACATACATACTGTTTAAGAAGATGTAGAAGTCCCTTACCTAAAGCACTGATCAGAGTGTAGGACGAACTACTAGAAGCCGGCGCCCTTCGGGGCGAGTAATAGTAAGGAGTGACGCTGTAGTTTGTTTAGGAATGCTCGCAGGTAAAAAGAACTACCATATACAGGCCAAGGCCTGCCCACTGCGAGCTTCTTTGTCAGGAAATTCGAAGATGAGGCGCTTAGTGTTGTGATTAACAGTCTTTGTACTTTGCAAGCGTAAGGTAGTGAATCCAAAACCTGAAAATGCCATTGGAGACTTATTGGATTACGCAAAAGCTGGAGTGGAAAAGATGGATCGACTGGAGTATGCTCCAACACCAACTAGAGCAACCGTCCCCGTAATCGTCGCGAATGATCGCAATGCATGGTGAGCGCGGGACATTTTTTGCATTTGAAGCAGAATAGAAGCTTGGGGTCACGGTGAAGCAGGCAAATATATCCGGGAGATGGTGTTTAATATGATCAATCTCCCTAGTGGCGCGTTTGGTTATGGGTCGCGCTTTAATTCGGATTGCACAAAGTTAATATTTTCCGAAAGTGTTTGGGCCGATCGGGTTTGGATTGAAACCCGACGGAAATGGCGAATCAAGGTCTGCTGGACATGGCTACCGCGTCGCCCAAGCCGTCGGATCCACAGGCGCTGCCTGGCTATCTGGTAAATATATTCTAATTTTCCGTTAATTGTCGTCAAGTAGTCGAAATCTAATGCATACTGGTTGGATAGGCAACATTACGGCTCTCAGCATGAATGGTGCACCTGCACTCCTTCGTGGCTGGCGCGAGGACCGACTACCTGCCACCATTATGGCCAAGCTGTGGATGAATCTTTACGAGTCTGGAAAATCTCAGAATCCTCCTATTGTTGCCGTGACTGAGTTGGGCGCATCCAGTCATATGCTCCTCATGAATGAGACTCTCCAGCAATCTCAGAAGTCAAAAAGCGTCATTTACTGGCACATTAACTTGTTTTATTTCATAATTCTCTTCAGATTCTGTAATAACATCCGCGTCAAGTTGTAAGGGAGGATTATGGTCTCGGTGGTGAGCCATGCATGTCGCACCCGTCAGACTCTAGATCGTGGAACAATATCTGGATGTCCAAAGACTTGATTGCAGATTGACATCAGATACTTTCATTATGAAAAGCCCTGACTCTACGGCCACATATGGACCCTTTTATTCGATCGTACTTAAATTATTTCGCCGTATCGAGCAGGCTGCCCCTGGAGTAGATGTGCCAATAGCTCCTCACAATAGTTGTTCAGTATCCCTATCATTGATTGATACTCTGTCATTGGCCTGAGTTATATACCGACGCAAATACCGTCAATCGCTGCCTTCTGTAAGACGGCTGCACGAAACTCGGTACCATCTGGAAAGTCTTCGCAGACTTTTTTAAATTCAGGCAATGCCAAACCGTTCTTCAGATACTCATTGTTCTCCCACACGGCGTAATTAACGATAAAGTTACCGTCTCCAATAGCATGATGGAGTTGGGTCGAAATATAACCAGGGGCCTTCTTGAGAACCTCGCCAGTACGACGCCAAGTCTCTAGGAATGACTCCTTGTTGGCTCCGTGGGGGATCGAAATGATGTTGAGAAGCACAACAGGCCCGACGGGAGGGTTGGTCGAAAGCATGGCCTCAAAGGTGGTCGACTTATCAAGAGGTTTATGAGTAGGTGCCATTTTTGCGTTGAGACTTATAGTATTCTAAATTAGACAGTTAGGGGGCATTGGCTTTCTGTAAAGAGTATGTGGCGCAATACCTTGGAAGGATAACTTTTCTTCAAGGAAAAGAGTTGGGCAAAACGGATTGGGGGGAAGGATTAGCTCTATTTATTTGTTCTCAGACAAGGGCGGGTGGTAGCGCTGGAATCCCGCTTAGTAGATGAGAGCGAATTGGGCGATACGGTACGTCGACAGAAATTCACACCTCCGGGCCTAGCCTAACAACTGAGTAAGCTTGAATCCGGGTCAAGCTCGTAACGCTGGCTCGGTATCTTCAATATCCATCTCCGTTATCGTAACCATTCAGAGAGATCAAATGTATGTACTCAGGGCGCACAGTGGCGGCGTTGGAAGGCTTCCCAAAAGCCGAGGTCACGATTAAAGGAACCTTCCAATGGTTGCTAATTGCAGGCCATGTAGCGTCCAAGGATCCAAAACGGACTTGAACGTCAGGTCCGTCGGCAAGTATCTAGGATCCCTCGGATTGTTGGTTTGACTGGATTAATCTTGGGTCCCGGTCTTCGGACTTCTGGCTGCCCGCGAGCTCTGGCATGATCCGGCTATAACCTTTAATGCGCTCTTCCAAATCTTTCTATTCCGGCTCGTGCGTACGTGTATAGCGGTAATGATAAAGGTGTCCGTAATTGACGCAGCCAGCTCGGCATCCGCAGTTATGACAGTCTCTCTCCCCTATTTCCTCCTTACAATTACCACTTCCTTCCTCAGAGTTTTCGTTCTCTACACTTACTCTGTGTAAACCTAGGCGTAAGGGGTTCTCTCCAATTGGGTTCCTTACAACCGGCTACAAATATAATGCTAGATATTTTCTCGGGGTGCAGCGAATAGGCGAGAAATAATGTCTGCGCCTTTCAGATTTGAGGGTTGAGGGTTCAGAGTCCTGGACAATCATTAGCCCTCTTATTAAGGGTACACCAGTTGCAAACAGACCTGCGCAGACAAATGAGATATCGTATGCGGTACTGATGCTATGTCATCCAGGTGCACCATGGCTCAATGGGGTCAACCGGGTTGTGAATGGCGGTTTGACTGTCTAATATTTGAAAAGCAGCTTGAGCTGGCAAGCTACAAGTCTGGATGTGGCTTAACAGGCATTCGTGCCCTTTCGCGATAATTGCAATTGAATGAGCGCTTTTACGATCAAAGTTGAAGTGATCATTTTAGTTCTCTGTCTCCTCTCACCATACCAGGAAGGAGTTCTGATTCTCTCCACAATATTAAATGCAAATTACCCTCAGTGCGAAATGGACTACTTCCTGAGAGAGAAACTGCTTGTTCGAGTTTCACTCAGAAGACACTGAAGACCTAAGTTGACCAGTATCGCTCGGTAAATTTCTATCCTTCTAGTAACCAGCGGTGACCAACTAGCATTTCGTGGTAAGCAAACTACAGCTATACATTATGAGCCAAGAAAGTGTCCAATTTCTGAGATTTGATTATTTTATTCTGGCCGTCCAACGCTCGCCTTTTGGAAACTCTCCAAAAGCCGCCTATAGGCCCCACGAACGGTAGGTGAAGCCGTTTCCCCACCAAGTGGGATTTAGTTAAAAATTTAAGTGATTGACATTCTTGCCCACAGCGATGAGTGTCGGTTTTCCGGTTTGCGTTGATCTCCATTGGGGTCTCGGTCTGTCTTGCCTGGAGATTTCAGGAAGCATGAGGGATATCTCCATATAACGATGGAAAAGGGGGCTTCATAACGTTGTAAAACCAATTTGGCTAAAATTTCTCTCCGTTTAATATTAGATTTGCGAATTTTATTCTTCGATCCGTTTTTAGTAGAATTCTATAGAAGTGTTGTCGACATGACCGGGGTTGTTCATTCATGTCTCAGGTATCTAGGATACGCACAGGTTTGAACCGGTTTATTGGCTATTATAGATACCTCTGTGACACTGAAAGTATGAAAAGTCACTCTATAGCTGGAGAAACTCAATTAATATGCCATTTGCCCTTCACGTATTGTAACAAAGAGATAACGCCTCTTAATCTTGTGCCAACATCATATTGAAGGTACTTGCATAGCTGCCTTTGACTAGCAGATCTTATTCTACTGGTATAAAGTTTGGACAACAAGGATAAATTCACGAAAAGGGCTTCTTGAGACCATTCCTCACAAATATGATCCACTCATTACTACGTGAGGTTCCCTTCAAGGATCTGAGCTACCGTAGAGAGCGTTTCCCCAATGACTCTAACAATCTCGAAGACATGTAACCCTCGAAAGGTTTCAGCCCACAATCTCACTACCGTAGCAGCCATACGACGGATGCAGTAACTATCTGAGTCGTTGCTATCTAGTGTATTTGCCATATCCGTCTCTTTGATCAGGCTGATGATCATTCCTAGTAGTTTTCTTTCATCTTCTCGAAGCGAGTCCAGCCCGGTAGTGTGTACAGCATCGGAAATGACCCCTAGCCATCGGCTGAGTAGAATTGCGCACTCTAGTGAACAGAGCGGATGTTGGATGCTCTCATTCATAGACTGCGTGTAAGCGACAAAGGGAATACCGATGCGAATTGGAATGCTGAGAGCATGAATACATTGGAGTATAGCCCGGTCAAGATGAAGTGAGCGCGTAAATAGCGCAGAGACATCTCCTGTTAAAGAACGGGCGATATGTTTTGGGTCTTGGGATATTAGATGGCGACAGGGTCCAAGGTTTGCGTTCAAGCGAAGATATGCAAGTCTAAACAATGCTGCTGAGTTGAATCCAAGAGGTCCACTTGGAGACGAAGGATCTAGTGAGGTTTCCTGCGTGGCTTCCCAAGATCTTTGCCAGACTTGAAGAGCGGATTCAAACCTCTTGACTGTATCTGGATGAAGGCTAAGACCAATCGCAGTCTGCCGTTCAAAATAGATATTTTGGATCATAGCATTGATCATAGCATAGTTTCCAAGGGCGGAAAGAGGCTCTTCATGGTGAAACGTCCCGCCCAGCCATCGTTTCTGAAAGAATTGACTGAAAATGGCGCTCAGTGTGGCCGCATGTTTCTCTGGTGTGCTGCCACTCGGCTGCCGAGAGTTTTACCCATTCTGTGTTGCAGTGGGGGAGCGAAAGTCGAATTTCATTATTGACGAGTAGAGGAGGTACATCGAAAGTGATGCTGGTAAGATTTAAGAAGATATAGGACACGAAAAGGGTTCGTCGACGTTGCTCTCGATGGATCCAATCCACCCAAGAGCACCGTCCGATAATTTCGTCCGGTTGAGACAGCCCCAATTCCCGGGTGAGCATCGCAAGCTGGCTTCCCATAGCCAAGGCATCATGGACAGCTGGAACATCTGCCCAGGTTGCCATTGCCATTAAAATTATGAGTGTTTGCAGTATCTGCAGTGTGCGGGAAGACAGACATTTGTCCAAGGCAAAAAAGGACCCGTCATTCTCTGTCCCGTGCTCAATATTGATGGAATTCAGTGCATGAATGCCCGGTTGTAGGCGACTGGCGGAGCCCATCGCAAGGCCTACGATGGGCATTCGACTACGCTGTTCGAGGTGATGTGTGACAATTTTTTTGGAGGCTAAATAAAGCTCATAGCCCTTCTTCTTCTCCATGCGGAAAAATGCGCCTATCCCGGTCATTGCCAGCAGAAGTTCCGGAGCCAAGGTATCCATTTTGATCGTCGGAGGGTGGAGAAATGGGAAATGTTCATGGAAGCTTCGAAAGTATCCCTCGATGTAACGGGACATCGTATGCCTCGAAGGAACGAGAAAGCCAGGAGGCAATATTTCCTCGTGGGACCGAATGGCAACAAATAGTCTCTCATATGTGAACGCAGAAACATTCCACGGGAGGCCGGTTTTTGAGTCAACAGAAGGGTCGAAACCCGTTGGGGAGACTAATTCATTGTGGGGAAGTCTTTCATTCCGCGATGATAAAGAGTCTGGTTCTAAGGGCGGTAGCCGAGATGACAGCGAAATAAAGGAAGGACTACCCTGCAAGTCCCGGGGGGACGAATCATTATTGGATTGATCGACTGGAGGGGGGGAAATTGAGCTGTTGACACGCAGATTACCTGTCTGCCAGATAGCAGATAATGAATAATCCGTATCAAAGAAAGTTGTCGGCAAAAAATCAGTCATTTGAGTGCTGTTGTGCCACAGCAGCTCAAACTCGTACGTGGAGTCGAAATCGAGACCTATAGAGACATCTTGTTGAAGCTGCTCCGTAGATGGAGAAAGACCGAAAGTTTGTTCGGATATGGGGGCGCTGGAGAGGACTGCATGTTGATCCGCACTCTCTAAATCCCGTACAAGCGAGGGTACGCGCGACGAGTCCGGGTCACGTTGGTCTGGAGATCTGTTGATGGCTTCCAGTAGTCAGATACCGGGTTTATGATTGACGAGGGATTGATGAGTGGAAATTGCCTCTCTTCTCCCACGGTCGTGTATATCTCGCTGGTATGCGTTGCAGTCGCCTCCCCTGGCAATGCATGACGACTGAGCCTATGGTGGCGCATAAGAAGGTCCCTGAACATTGTAAGAGAGACAGTCAACATTAAAACCGAAGCCTATGCATATATACTTTCTGGAGAACCGTTGTCCACAATCGCAGAGAAACGGTTTTTCTTGTGTATCTGCCGCTTGTAAGGACCAAGTTGGCAAATGAGGGGATAGCGGTATGTCTCACGGATGCGTTCATGGCGCTGTAAATGTTCCAGCCTTTTAAAATTCATGTTACAGAACCGGCATGGGGGCACGGTTATTTTAGGTCTTCCTCGGGCCATGATGTTAAGCCCAAGATGCGAAAATTAACCTTGATGATTTTTCAGAAAGGTGGAATGGGCGCTTGAGGGGACTGCTGCTTCGGCGACGGTGCACGAGAGGAGAGGTCCTTCCTCAGAATAGTACCTTCGCTCAATCCCACAACCACTTCCCGGTTTGTTGCGCTATACACAAGCGACGGAAAACTCCTTAGTAGGATTAAAAGAGGGCTCCGGACAAGGTTTGTGTTGTTTGGGATTGATCAAGCACCAAATCTCTCGGTTTCAATTTATAGCCATCCAATCTTGTCAATGTGACAAAGACTTCTTCAAGAGACCTATTAGAAGCATCATTGTTTCTGGAAGTTCCTTTCTGAATTCATTGTCTCAAATTATAAGCCTTACCACTCGCCGTATGGAAACCGTATCAAAGAGGTATTAGCACGTCAGTGAAGTTAACCTCAATGTTAGAGAAGTATATAACCAGGTTGATTGTTTTGATCCTGTTTAGGGTGAGGTAAACGCCGCATCGCTCAAGCAGTACTTGATAGCAGCGTGATCTATCCTACTTATGTATCCGAATCAAATTTCTGTCATAGTGCTCTGTCACGGCATTATTCTGCTGCGGGTGTAAATTACATGAGTCATTTCAGCTGTCTCTGGCCTTCCGCAGAAATTATATTCACATTTATAAGTTGGCATAGCCGGTCACATGACCTTATATTTCAACATAAGCGCAGCCCCTATTATTAGAGGAAAGAAGACACGGATAGTGGTCGGCTTTTGTCTGATAGCCACAAAAAACAGTTACGAAAGGAACTCCCTTTCCTGTGGGGTTGGATTACAAATCCTCGAGCACTCAAAGTGCGGACCCACATCATAAGAGTACTTCTATAGGCAGATCCACTGATATACCGTAACGGCTCAAAATCCGCAAACACCGATGATTGCGACTGACTCGGATGATGTGGGGGCTTCGTACAGTGGTCTTCGTTGTGTCTATCACTCAACAGATGAGGTAATTGGTGATACCGTTACTATCCATGTCGATGAGCAACCCTGAAAATGTGCATGAACAGCGTAATGGTTGGACTTTCAACAAAAATAACCTCCGCCTTGTGTTTACAGTGTGCATTCCCTGGCCACTAAAGGAATTTGAGTGCTGTCAGCATTTGGAATTTCCCTTTCTAAGGTATTTTCACTTCTCTATATCCCGTCAAAATATTGGTTTGGCGTACTGTGCACACCGATACCTAGAAGATATTAAAAGAGTACATCTTTGTTAACACCTTCCCCAGAACAAATGGAATGTACCTGATCGGTTTTTACTCTTTGCGACTTGATATCCCAACTTCAGCTAGTTTAGCTGTGCTAAGATTTAGGTTGTGGTGAAACTCACACTAAATTAGAATAGGTTAGGGTTGGTTTTGATTTCTAAAATTTAAACCCCACATCACACCATTGGTGCCAACTCGGGTTGAACTCACCCAAACTTGGACTGAATGCAACTCTACTTACTAGCTCAGTATATTATAAATTGATCTAGAACACTGTATAAGTAAACATAGTCTAATACTAGCTGGCCCTCTTGTGCCTAGCACCTGGTGAGCTTTTTCTGACACCAGCTGAGCTGCGCTGCCAGTGAATGGTGACAGTAACAAAGGCGCTGCATTAGATGTGTTCGGAGCTTCAGGTTGCGCTAGTGCTATTAGTAAGATTTCGGGACTTCGGCTTTTGTGAGCGCCGCGAGATTTCAGCATCATCAGGTTCAGTCTGAGACTCGAACTTGAACTTAATAATGGAGGCTGTTGATTGGTGACTTTGGCCCTGTCCTTGCGCGATATCAACTCCTCTTTCGGTCCCGAACTTTCTCCAGAGTCTCTCCTTTAATACTGGTAATGCTGAATACTAATTGTTATTATGATTTGTGACTTTGTGAAGCACAGAAAAGAACTGAAAGGGAGCCAAGCAATTTACATTGAATCCCCCCCACTTACATTTGTCATGAATGAACAACCTGCGACCTACACCGGAGTAGAATCACCCTCCCATCTGGATGAGGATCTGACAGTCGTAATGGTTTATTGTGGAGTGCACAGCACAGGCTAAAGAATTTCCCCACCCCTGCCCTCTTGCTTTGGCATCAGACAATATAAAGGCTATCATAACCAGGATGCTGTCCCTACCAGCTTGATCCCGCGTGCAGATTATTTCAAAAACTTATATCACGTCTTCTTCGTTAATAAGCATCCACGGCCCCTACTTCACTGGACGTCTAACATGGTGAGCCCAATTAACAACGTCGCCTTACTTGGAGCGTACGTATTTTCATATTTTGAGACACTGGTATGAATTTACAGAATAACTGATGATGTCCTTGAGAGACAAGTGGCACATTAGGGTCTCATGTTCTCGAAGCGCTTGCCTCAAATCCGTTATTTTCTGTTTGGGTCGTGACCCGAGGATCTGCATCAACCAAATATCCTCCAAATGTGAAGTTTCAGGAAACCGATTATTCCTACCAATCGTTGGTATCTATTTTTAAGGAGAATGCGATTGACGCCGTGGTCAGCACCGTTCCACATTACGCGCTTGAGGCGCAAGACCGGGCCATCGAAGCTGCTGTGGCTGCGGGGGTAAAGCGCTTTGTTCCGTCTGATTTTGGTACCAACACCTCTGACGAGAGAACACTCGACATTGCTACATTCCTCAGACCCAAAGCAGCTACTGTGGCAAAGCTCAGCTCTCTTGAAGGTAAAGGGCCCAATGGAGAATTCAGTTGGACAAGTGTCATCACGGGGCCATTTTTCGAGCTGTAGGTCTCATGCACACATAACTTTGAAGCATTCAGACTTACTAGCCTTACAGTGGTATCAAGACTGAGTTCCTGGGGCTCAATCTCGCTGAAAAGAGTGCCGTCCTGTACGACGGAGGCAACACCGCGTTTTCCGTGACGACGCTCTCTCAGATCGGTAAAGCCGTGTCTGACATACTATCCAAACCATTGGAGTCCGTAAACAGATATGTATTTACCGCCACTGCCAAAATTACGCAGCGCAATCTCCTTAATATCTTAGAGAAGGAGACAGGGGTTGAGTGGACTGTCACTGAACGGACAACCCAGGAGCTTCTCACGGAGGGAAAGGAGAAGGTTTCGAAGGGTGATCTGACAGGATACTTTAACTTTCTTTTTTACTGCATCTTTCAGGGTGATAATACTGGAAATCTGTGGGATGGTACACCTGGACTCACCGATCAGGAATCCCCGGAGAGCGTGGTCAAGAGAGTGCTTGCTGAATTAAGCTAAAGGTCGGAGTAATATATTTGTTATTACTGAGAGACAAATGCAGTGAATAGCCTTTTAACCTGCCTGATTTCTTCTATTCCTCTTCATTCTTCAAGTTCTTGCTTTTAGGTGCCTTTACATAGGAGTTGAATCCATCTCTTGCTTGACCGTGACAAATGTGACAGAATACATTCTTGAATTATTCTGTTCAAATTATTTGTTCCTATACTTGGAGGGTGTGCCATGAAAATACAATAAGTAATAAGGCGTTGTTTTTAAAATGTCGTTAAAGATATGGCATTTCTTAGGGGATTTTATATTGCGCCGGCGACTCGCCGATGAATGACATTATTGAGAGTAGAACTGCTCTTAAGATTGATGAATCAATTCTAAGCATGATGTATGGATGTAGTCTAGCACTTCAAGCCAGGTGCACAAGAGTCTATGGATATCTCCATACCCATAAACTTACCCTCTTCCCTCCATTCTTCTAACACCCTCTCATAACTACCCACCCCTTCTCCCCATACTGCAGCTCTAGCTTTCTTTCTCTGCTCTTTCGGATCCATCTCCATCAACATCTCTCCCTCGTTGTTCAGTACACCGGGTGTACAAGTAGTGAGACCCACAAACCAAGGTGCCCTCTTAATGACCTCATCCGCCCATTTTTCTTCAGCTTCTTCAGTAACCTCAACAGTAACTTTAGCTCCACCAGCCTTCTTTGTTGCATGGTCCACAATGTGCGCCACGTGCTTGGCAACCATATCAAGCACAAATACGTAGTTCATCGAGAAGCCTGCTTGTGCGGTGTTCGTGAAGAACATGTTCGGGAACCCATGGGTGGCTATACCATGGAGTGTCGTCACGCCATTTTCAATCCATTTCTCATCAAGCGATAGACCACAACGACCCGTCACAGCCACATCAGCACGGCAACCTGGGCTGCCACTCCCGGCAGCAGGAGAACGAAATCCAGTGCTGAGTACCAAAAGATCTAATTCATACTCTTTGTTATTAGCTACCACACCGTTTTTGGTAAGTCGTTGCACACCCTTGCCCTCTGTGTCGACCAGTTGCACATGTGGTCGGTTAAAGGCAGGCAGGTATTCATCATGCGCGCACGGCCTTTTACACCATGCCGGGTACCAGGCTTTCAATTTCTCAGCTGTGGCCTGATCCTGAACAACCTGACTGACCCGAGCTCTGATGCTCTCTGCACGCTCCACATCTAGAGCATGTAGTTCAGCAATATGCTCAGCTGCACGATCCACGGTCATGGGCCCCTTTCCAGGTCCGCCTGCGAGCCCACTCAGCGCAGGTCGAGTTGTAAATGCATCACAAAATAGATCAGGTCCAATAGGTGCATTGGATATTTGCGAGTTGTAGTTCCTGGCTCTGGCTACTTGCCAACCCTTTTTGCATGCGATTTCTTTGCACCATTGCTCGGAGGTCATGAGGGATTGATTGCGCACATCAACCGACGAAGGAGTCCGCTGGAAGACGTATAACTGCTGTGACCATTTCGCAAGCTCTGGAACAACTTGTATGGAAGTTGCTCCAGTGCCAATAATTCCGACCCTCTTGTCCTTGAGGCCTGTGAGCGATGCATCACCTGGGTGACCCCCCGTATACTTGTAGTCCCACCGAGCTGTGTGAAACACTTGGCCTTCAAATTCCTCGAAGCCGGGGATCTTCGGAACTTGGGGCTTGTTGAGGAAGCCACTGACAAGAATGGTAAAGTCCGCGTGAACTTGCATATCCACTGACCCCTGTTGCGGTCCTCGATTTTGAGTTATCTTTATTCTCCATTGTTTCCGACTGCTGTCCCAGTCCATTGTTTTCACGTGGCTTCTGAAAAGTGCTTTATTGTTCAAGGACCATTTTTCGGCGATCCTATTGGCATGTTCGCGAAGCTCTTCGCCGTAAGCATACCGATGCCGCGGCTTGTAGCCCGTCTCCTCGAGAAGAGGCATGTAGATGGAGCTCTCCACATCACACATCAGACCCGGGTAGCGATTCCAGTACCAGGTACCTCCAAATCCGCCGGCGCCATCGACAAAACGAATATCTTCAGCTCTAAAGCCTGCATCGATAAGGCGGACTGCAAAGAGCAGACCCCCGTACCCGGCGCCAAGGATCAAGAACTTGCAATGAGAACCATCTTTCAGCGGAGGCTCTTGAGCGTTCAGAGTCTGATGATCAACCCATGGATCGTCGATGAAATGCCTCAATTCGTTGGAGTTTGCAGGGTCAAGAAATTGAGCCAGTCCATCACGACGAAGACGCTTATCACGTTCTTCCGCATACTTTTGGTGCAGCTCTTCGCTCAAGCCAACTGGAAGACTTTCTGACACAGAACCCATTTTTGAAAGGCGTGGATGAGGATGACAGACTCCTAAGGATGGAAGAAGGGAATATATCGGTGAAGTAAAAAGAGATGCTCAATGTCTGTCAAGTTCTCCCATCCTACTGACGAGGTTTCCATTTTTATACATCACGGAAGGGCAAATGGTTCCTGATAGTACAGAACGAGCCGGAAATTAAGGAAGGGTAGCTTCCGTGCCGCGATTAATGACCAGGCCACATAGTCTGCATAATAGTGCTGCGCCTTTTCTAGCTCAGGATGCTACTCTGCACCCTAAACAGCCACTGCCCTGTGTATTCATGGCTTGTTAATGTGAGACAAAAGTGGAGCCCGGTATGATCCCATTTCCGTCCCATGGCTCTTTTCATGACACTCTATAGTGGGGCTTTAACCACACGGTCAACAGATTCCTGAGCCATTGCATCTGAAGAAGTATATGGAGTACACATCATCTGCTTTTTAGTAATCGGAAACGGAAATAAAAGGCATCCTTGTCCCATTTCATTATAGCCGCTCCACCTGTACGCCCCGATGATCGACATACAGCCGGCTATGGCCTACCTATCTCGCATTATGCTCGCCTTTTACGTCTAAATCCGACTGAATCCGATAGGAATGCGACTTCCGGGGCCACTTCTCTGTGCAGGCTTTTTTTTCACAGCTATCCTTTCGGATAGAGTCTCTTCCGGGGTACAACGAGTGAAGATACGATGGGTTTCTTATGCTTCATTATATAAACCAGTACCCCTAACTTCTGAAACGGCGCCAAGTTTACATCAGATCCAGCAAAGACGGCTTTAAATTTTCCTTAGCAATATGACCGTCAAAGTTGAACGTGCACCCGCCCTCTTTATCTCGCACGGCGGTGGTCCATTCCCGATATTGAACGAGGACCACGAGCCCTGGAGACAAATTGTACGCAGTTACTCCACCATGTTCGACAACACGAAAGGAATTATTTTTTTCACAGCACATTGGGAGTCCTCGCAGCCTTCCATTTCAGGGGCGAGTGATCCGAACATCTTCTTCGATTACGAGGACCTTAAGGACCAGCTCCCTAAAGCCGCCTTTGAGATTCACTACGAAGGGAAAGGTGACGCGGATTTGGCGCAAAGGCTTGCAAAGCGCCTACAGGAGAGCGGATTTGAGCCTGTTCTCGACAAAGCTCGGGGATGGGACCATGGTGTTTGGATCCCGATGATGCTTCTCAGGCCAAGCGGAGATATACCCCTCGTTCAGATGTCAGTGCTCCAGGGCCACGACGAAGGAGACTCAACAGAAAAGAATATCTTGGTTGGCCAAGCGTTGGAGTCCTTTCGGAACGAGGGTTATGCAATCATTGGAAGCGGTGGGTCTTCCCACAATTTCGATGAAATTATGAAAGCATACATGAGCCCAGGCGCCAAAGTTCCCAAGGGCGCGGAGTTATTCGAAGACTTCCTCCAATCTGTTGCTTCCATTTCCGATCCAATTGAGCGAAAGTCTAAGCTTTCAACGTGGAGAAGTGCTCCCGGTAATGAAATTGCGCATGTGCCGGGTAGCTCGGAGCACCTTATGCCATTTATGGTAGTATCCGGAGCTGGTGGCCACGGAATTGGAAAAAGAACTGACCTCTGGGATTTGGTTGGAGCACCAGTGGGATTCTATTTGTGGAAGTAAGGAGGTCATGTATTTGACAGATCAAGATGAAGAGAAGAATGGCAGCCTGATGTAATTTGATTGCGCGAGAGACCGATTTTATAGCTCGGGCCGAAAATCATTTTATACAACAATTACCTGCCTGACAGTGAGGCTGCTGAACCGTTTCGTAGGTGAGCTAGAGCAAGATTGAGATTCACCTTCGTCATATACCTCGTGGGGTTGCGGTACCGGAAGTGCATTCCTCCGGGAACTGCGTGAATCATTTCTGTCTGGGTAGCCCTTCAAGTAGTTGGTTGTGGCAGGGTCGTAGAGGAAGAGGTGAAACACAGCAAAATGACATCAAGTAGTACTTAGCTATAGGGCGGAGAGCGCAAAGAACGAGGTAAATCAGCCCACCGCCTCATAACTAAGCTTACGCCCAGTATGAGACAAGATCCGGGTTTACTCGGTGAATGGATTGGACTCTCGGACCCTGTCCATTTCTTCAGAGAGGTGGTGTCGGGAGCGGAGGTCGCCCGCTCGTCTGTATGGCCCACTCGACCGTAGAATACGTTTAGGTCTGGTTGAGCTTGGCACGGATAATTAATGTATTTCACAAATGGGCCAGCCCACGTCCACTCCAATTCCTGCCCATGGGCTAAATATCGGGGGCTTTATCAACAAAACAATCGCATTTCTATATACAAATTAATTAGGAACTCGGTTAGGACATTGCAATCACTAATTTCTTAGATTATAACAATCACTGTAGCGCGGTCTAACTGTAGAAAGTACAGGATCTGTAGGGATAGTATCCTAAGTTTTCAACTTTCCTGGACCTCATTCTCGCGCTGAAATCACTCTAAGCATTTCTGGATAGCCATACCTTCAGTAGTAGCTAGCTGCCTAGTAGAGTGCTTCTGTTTTGAAAGCCATATCTTATTAGAAGCGTGTGATTCAGTGGTACATCAGGTCACTTTTTGGTTGGGTCTGTGGAGGGGAATTCGGACTTGACTCTGTGGGGCCCGTTCAGCCATTTCAACCCCAACCCTTGATCTTTTCCGGGGGTTTGTGGAGTGGAAATTCAGACTTGACTCTGTGGGCCCGTTCACCCATTTCAACCCCAACCCTTGATTCTGTCCGGGACTGTTCGAAATTACGTCAAGCCAAACAAATCCCAATTTTTGTTTCAACCAGCATTAGAACCTTACTTTTCAAGAAATTACCAATACAACCACAAGATGTAGACATCCTCATTACCTGAGTTCACGGTCTTTTTCTTCTTCAAGGATTTCCAGCGATATGAACAAGAAAATAAACAGCGGATACTTTGGCAGTAATACCACCATACTGAATTTGCTGATATCTGGTTTTCTTGTCTTGTTTATGCGTTTTAACACGGCAGATTTCTCGGAAAGCGTTGGCGGGATACAGTTTCAAACTCGCGCCCTGTACCTACTGCCAAATCACGCATCTGAGCCGAGATTTTTTTTTTTTTTTTACCATCGGCAATTAATCATCCTTGACCTTCATATTCCCTTACCTGTGATACTACTTTGATGCAGAATCATGCAGTGTACCCTGTGGTCATCGGGGAGAGTTGCATGCTCCCACTATTGCGCCTTTCTTCTGAGAATCAGTCCTTCGTACTATTTGGGTTCCAATTATCTATACAAAAAACTTTTTATATATGCCTACTAGCTCCAAAAATAACAAATGCCTTGGCTACCGATTCTCTCCAAATGAGTTATAGTTCCTCACGGAATTATTATACTAATGGAAATGTAGGTGTTGGGGAAAGAAATACAGGTATAGTCATCTCCAATCATCCCATAATCCGAAGGCCCACACTCCCTCAGTACAGTGCTGTTATCTTGCAAAACAGCAGAACTCTGGCAACGGAGTCAGGATTCTACCTTGATAAATTCACTGAGAAACTAAGTGGAATGATAATAGAGCGGGACAGCTCAGTTACCCTCTTTTGTTCTTTCATTTTGAAGCACGAATGCTAATAACTCAAGAATTTTGACCTGTGATGCGAACAATCCACCTTGCTATCCTTGATGCCGACATCCCTGCCCGAGAACTCTATGCTGCTCGTGGCATCTACAGCGCCCAGTTCAGGGATATTTTATCGGCTGCTACTTGTCGAGTGAACGCATCAAGCTTGGCACAGGGTGATACGATTGAATTGGTCGTTTCTGCATGGGATATTCGTGGGGGTTCCTACCCTCCTTACAACATCCTCCGACAAGCAGCACATGATCAACCAGAAACGCTGTCGAGTCCACTGCTCTCAACAACCACAGATACTGAACCAAAGGAGTTTGTGCACGCGATACTCATCACTGGTGCATCACCTGGAGTGTACGAGATAGGAAAATACCCTTGGATGCTGGCTCTTGAGGAGTACATCCAGGTCGTTTTCCAAGAATATCCCCACGTTCGAATTTTGGGATCATGTTTTGGACACCAGATAATTGCGAAGACTATTCTCCCAAAGTCCAACTGCTCTTTTCAGCCTGAGGTATATGTAGGGAAATGCCCCCTTGGTCGGGAAGTTGGCATCTACGAAGTCCACATGAATCAGGTATTTACTCGGGCTTTTCCTGTACTAGAAAAATTACATGAGGGAAAACTGAGACTACAAATGATGTATGGGGATTGGGTATTGGTTACTCGCAAGGATTGCACCAAACAAATATTGTCTTTACCATTCCCATGGCAGAACGTTGGGAGCACTCTTATTTGCCCAATACAGGGGCTGTATTATCCGCATAGGATATTTACAATCCAGGGCCATTTTGAACTAGATGCCTTCGCGATGATCAAAACAATCAACGAATTTGGGCCACAGCTGGGGTGGTCAGAATCGCAGACAACCGGTTTCCTTGAGAAAGTCGGGCCCAATGTCCAACCTCGCCAAGACGATGCAGAGACATTTGCCGAGGCAGTTATTTGTTTCCTAGCTGGCGTCGAAGCCCCCGTGCCGTTTGGTGGTGATTTGACTCCTTGCCAGGAAACATGATACATTGCCTCATTGCGGGCCCCAGTTTCAGGCAGATAACGAGCCTATAGGGATCTATGGCAGTTGTCTGATTTTCTGATATACAGCTTCTTCTAGAAACAGCAATGTGAATTATGTAAATACGCCATATCTGCAGCCTAGAGCGTGATTGTAGCAGAGGCGCTTACATTTATTGTCTACGATAGGCGGTTTTTGGCATTCTGTTACCTGAAATCCCAAACTGCTCTGGACAATATCCAAATCCCGCTCACTTAGTAGGCACGCTCGCGAGAAAATGCCCTGGTCAATCAACTGTAACTAACCGGAGGCAGAGATCGTCCGCTGCCATCCTAGCTGGACCAGCTCGCTGAGTAATTCTAACCCCAAGGATGATACTTTTGCATGACCTGAAATTGAATTTAGTTTCAGCATTTGTCGGCATTCAAAGCTCATCACCTTTTATTGAGTCCCAATTGCATTCTCTCGAAACTGACATATGTGCCATTTTTTGATTCATTTGGCTATTCAAAAGTAACTGCCAAACATGGCCCAGGAACAGATACCAGCGACCATGAAGGCGCTCAGGCTAATGAAGGCATGATTTCGCTCCTAGGAGACTTTACACCTCAACTAAGTGGCATATAGTACAATGAGAGCTACCGCCTTTGTAGCGATGTTCCAGTACCTACTCCTGGCCCAGGAGAGCTGCTCATTCGCGTGGCTGCAGCTGGATTCTGCCACACCGACTACCAGGTCTACAAAGGCGCATATGGAACACAATTACCCTTCACCGGCTCGCACGAGCCCGCGGGTACTATTGTGCAGCTTGGACCTAACATTCTAGGTGACTGGAGGGTTAATGACCGAGTTGGGGTGCTCAACTTTAGAAACCCTTGCAACGTCTGCAATGGGTGTCGATGGCGAATGAAGACCTATGGCTCCTTAGATGTCCGTTACTGCGAGAAAAAGACTATGAATGGCATTCTAAGAGCCGACGGTGGGTTTGCTGAGTATATGATCGCCTCGGACAATGCCCTCGTGCACTTGCCAGATGACTTGTCATTTGAACAGGCAGCACCATTGATGTGCGCCGGCGTATGTGTCCTTTTGCAATATATTCATAAAGCTATACTAACTCCCATAACTTCGGTAGGCCACCGCATGGAATGCTATTAAGGAGACTGGACTGGAGAAGGGAAAGTCGATAGCAATTGTTGGAATCGGAGGCCTTGGCGTGCTGGCCATTCAGTTTGCCAAAGCCCGAGGCCTGCGGGTCGTTGCCATCGACAACCGCGATATCGGTCTAAAGCTTGCATGTGATGTACCTGCACATCTTACCCCCGACCTTGTCGTCAACATCAACAGCCGTAGTGCCATCAAAGAGATTGATGCGTTTACCGACAGCATTGGGTTGCAGGGTACTGTGGTCTGCACTGATGATGTGGCAGCCAGTGACTGGTCCCTACACCGCCTTCAGCCCCAGGGTGCTTGCGTTGTCCTTGGTTTACCAGAGTCTGGATTCCAGTTCGATGCGTTCAACCTGGTCTTCCGAGAAATAATTGTCAAAGGATCGTTGCATTGTTCTGTCAACGAAGTCAAGAATATGATTAAGGCTGTTTCCGAGAATGGAATTGTCAGCCATCTTACCCTGCTGCCCTTAGAGGGAGGAGAGGACATCCCTGAGCGAGCAGCTGCTCATTCATTCACTGGTCGACTGGTTATTCAAGTGTAATAAATTGAGTATTATACGATAAAAACCAAAAAGGGAACAACAAAATGATAAACTACTCAAAGACCACTTCAAATTTTCTATCATTAAAAGGCTATGCCTCTCCAACCTCAGTGACGCACTCATTGTGTTCCGTACTGCATCTAGACCTAGGCAAAACCCAACCCGGAACAAACACCCCCCTTGAGCCCAAAACCCAGCCTAGGTAAAACCTGGAACACCCCCCCTTGAGCCTAAGCCTAGCCTAGAACCTAACTAGGCTACCCAGTTGGGCTACCTAGGTTGTTTTATTTTAGTATAATTTTCCTAATTAAGCCATGCTAAGATGTATAATTCTACTAACTAACTTAAATAAAATACTATTATTTATATCTATTCTAGTTACCTCTATAGTTTTAATTAATATATAGTCCTTAAATATATAAAATCTAAAGTAATTCAGCTATCTCTTAATAAATTAACACTAGTAATTATCTATTATCTAAGTCTTAGGATAATATTATTATGTTATAGTAGTTAATAAGCTATATATATAAAGGTACTCTTAATAACTATAGAAATATATTTAAACTATTAAGTATAGTTAGTGATTATATAGTAAGAGTATATTATTATATTAATTAGTATATTAGCTACCTATACCTAGTTTCTTCCTTCTTTAGTAATCCCACTTCCTTCCTTTATAGCCTATTAGGATAGTTAAAGCTAGAGTTGCATTTGGTGCGAGTTGGGGCGAGTCCAACCTTAGTTGGAACCAAACTGCTGCGGTTATAAGGTCGGCCATTTGGGTCTGAGGCTAACTGGTAAGATCAGCATGGAGGGAGTAAGATAACTGTATATTACCTAAGCAAGGAGAACTAATCACTAAGTTATAGAATACTTAGTAACTCATAGAATAACTACAGTGGATTATATAATCTAGTAGTCTGTACTATCTATATTAGCTATATACAGCAGCTTTATAGTCTACTATAGCCCTTAATAATTACCTCTTGTCACACCCTGGGATCTGTCTCTGCTGTTCTCTGCTAGTCAACTACTTTGGGAATGGGGTCGCTATAGTCCCTGGACTATAACCTATACTTGCCTGTGGCCTACTGACTAGGTAGCCTAATGATGTAGTGATATAATAACCTAACACTATAATGGCCCATACCCGGGGGGGGGCATCATACAAATCCTAGGGTTGACCCGGGGGGGGGTAGCAGGGTAACTCATACCCCCCCCTCAGAATGGTCAATTCTTCATATTTTTGAATGATTTAAAATGATTTATGATTCTAACTAGCTAATCTATTAGATTCTAATATTAGATTCTAGATTAATCACTAGGAAGGTGGTCAAACTATGGGGGTAGGGGTTAGGTCGAAATATTTTGTTGTGGTCTGCCAAGGCTACTATCTGCGGGAAGCCTATACCCTTTTAGGCTACCACTAGTATAGATTAGTGGCTGAGGCATCTAGTAGGCTAGTAGGGCCTTAGAATTCAGGCAGAAACTAGAAGAAAAATTAATTTTTAATATTTACTAGTAGTCTAGTACTAGATCACTAATTAKAATTATTTTTAGTAAATAGTAGATACTTTTAGCTATAGAATGATAATAGTCTCATTAGATAAGCATAATTCCTGATTTTTTAAAAATTCTAAAAATATAGTTTAAAATTTATTACCTGCTGACTAATTATAATTATTTTTAATAGGTAGGCCTAATTTCTACTGGTCTAGTGATATATAGCATACTTAGTAATATTAAGTCTAGAATTTTTAAAAATTCTTAGAAGTGAATGTTTTATAAATTTTATATAGTAGAGATATATATTAGTAAGGGCTTAGACTAGGGGCCTAGCTAGGTTGATAGTAATTAGATCTAGTTATTATTATTAATCTAGTAGGGTTAGTAGATATATATATATATTAGTCTACTAGGTAGAGGTAAGGTATGAGAGAAATATATATATCTAGAAAGTGAGAGAGAGGTAAGAGAAATCTGGAGAGTAGACCTAGGCTAGCTGGTTTGATTTGACTAGCCCAGCTGGTTTGATCTGACTAGGCTAGGTGGTTTGGCTTTGAGAGGTGCCCGCGCAGGGTGTCTAGGCTAGGTGATTTGATTTGACTAGGCCAGCTGGTTTAATTTGACTAGGCTAGGTGGTTTGGCTTCGAGAGGTGCCTGCACAGGCCTGACTAGGCTTGGTGATTTGATTTGACTAGGCTTAGTGATTCAGCCTGGCTAGGCTAGGTGATTTGATTCGACTAGGCCAGACAATTCAATTTGACTAGGCTTGGTGATTTGATTTGACTAGTCCAGGTGATTTGATTTGACTAGGCTAGATGATTCAGCATGGCTAGGCTTGGTGATTTGATTTGACTAGTCCAGGTGATTCAGCCTGGCTAGGCTAGGTGATTCAATATGACTAGGCTAGGCGATTCAATCTGACTAGGCCAGACGATTTGATTTGACTAGGCTAGGTGATTCGGCTTGGAGAGGTGCCTGCGCAGGGGGTCTAGGCTTAGTGATTTAGCATGGCTAGGCTTGGTGATTCACCTAGTTAATCTAGTATGACTAGGCCTAGTAAACATATATTAATCTTCTCTAGATCTAGGGTAGCCTTCTATTAGTAGATATCTATATATATATTATATAGGTGAAAAGATATATTTAAATCATACTAGTCTAGTGATTCTAGAATCTTCTAGATCTATCTAGGCCTAACACTATAATGGCCCATGCCTAGGAGGGTATCATACAAATCCTAGGGTTGGCAGGGGGGGAGGGTAGCAGGGTAACTCATACCTACCCCTTATCTTTATCAAAACTTAATATTTTTTAATGATTTAAAATGATTTCTAATAGTAACTAGCTGTCACACCCTGGGATCCGTCTCTGCTGTTCTCTGCTAGTCAACTACTTTGGGAACAGGGTGATATAGTCCCTGGACTATATCCAATACTCACCTAAGGCCTACTAACCAGGTAGCCTAATGATTAGTGATATAATGACCTCTCTAGGGTCAAGGATAATCCAAAGGTAATATAAGAATAATAACAGTAGAGATAGAAGCAAGGCCTACTGAGTATATATACTCAATAGTAGAGAGTAACTAACAAATCAGACTAGTGAACTTATACTCAAGTGAATGATTTATATTAAATATAAGGAACTAAACTAAGAGTACTAGATATAGTATGAATGAGTGTCCTTATATAACTATGGTTCCTCCTGATGGTTGATGCAGTAGATGGTAGAATGGTATATTAGTAGATGTTCACAATATCAAATTACTATCTATTATGTCTATCCTTCTACCATTACCAAGCCATGGCACATGGTCAGTCCCTTACATGATGTGGTAGCCGTAACTGGCATCTTTTCAGTAATTAATAATTATCCTCTATAATAATTTAGTATTACTATTCAGTAAGTAACTACTGAACTATTTTCCTGCAGAATACCTATCTAGATTAAGTATCCTTCTAGATTACTTAGTGATCCCTTGGGATTAATTAGTGATTAGTAATCCTTTGGTTTCTGCCTGTTATATCTACCTTGCACTAATATAGCTGTGTTAGTATTATAACATTACCTCCCCCTCTCTTAGTGTTTTATCCTTAAAACTTAATTTAAAAGGCGGCACTTCCCTGGTAGGTGTGTTCTTTATTTCTTTAACTATATTTACTCATCATACTGAAGTATTATGCTGATACTATCCTTAAAGATATTTCTAAACTCCTCTATAACTATAACTAAGTTGCTAGTTGCATTCACTAGGTAGAGTATATTATTAAGAATAGTTTTATTACTTCTTTTCCTTATAACTTTTGCACATTATCTGGTAAGGCCTGTATAATAGATTAGGCTTATTACTATTTAAAGTATGTATTATATACTTATTAGGGTTATTTATATAAGAAGGATTTTTACACTAAGAAAGAGTAGGATATTCTAAAGAGAGCTGAGAAGAAGATTACTTCTAAGCTTTCTATAACTAATAATAAGTTAGAACTTCTTTACCCTGAACTTTAGCAGTTATAAAAGTATTTAGAAAAGATTTAAAAAGAGTTAATAGAAAAATAATAGAAGGTTACTAAGTCCTTAGCTCATTACTTATAACTTTAAAAATAATAAAAGTTCCTTAAAGAGTGTAGTTTTAAGATATTAGAATATAATACTAAACTATTATAGATCCTAGATAAGAAGAAGTCTTCTAAGTAGCCTAATCCTATAGCTAAAATTAAACAGCTAGCTGCAACTTCTGAAAATCCTAATTTTAACTAGATATTATTAGAGATTAATCAGGTACCTCCTTCTTTTTAGGAGAATTTTGATTTTCCTTTGAGCAGTACTGTTAAATAAGTTAGTAGTAGCCTATTAGGTTCTTAATAGGCTCCTATATATTTTCTGAGGTATTATAGCCCTTCTATTTTATAAGGTAGTATAGTTTTCTGCTAACCTGTTTATAATTTAGGATTTATTTAACTTTATACTTCTATTTTATATTATTATTAATTTCTATATTTTTAGTAATTTTTATATTTTTTTAGTGCTGGTTCTAATAATAAGATATAAAATACTAGATAAATTTTTGATATACTCTTTAGTAGTTATAGTTTATAGTTAACTAGTTCTTTCTTTTCTTTAATAGTGAAAGGTCTAATTTTCTAATAGTCTAGTTTCTGACTTAGTCTCTTTATTTTAATATTTCTATAGAGTAGATAAACTTTCTCCCCCTTTTTTAAGTCTAGAGTACTCCTATACTTCTTATTATAGTAGATTGCTATTTTAAGGTTCATAAATTTAATATCCCTTAATAGTTAGGTTTATAGGTAATTAATAGTATCTACTAATTCTATAGCTTCTTCCACTGTGGGTACTTTATTCTATAGTTCTCTAATTAATATAGGGTTATATCTATAATTAGTAAAGAAAGGTGTTTCCCCTGTTATTAAGTAAATAGTATTATTATATGTAAACTACACTATTAGTAGATAAACTACCTAATTATCTTA